AGGAACTGTATATTTGCTGAGTATTAACCGTAACTAACTAAAGGAAAACTGGACAAAAGAAGTAAATGTCCATAAAGGGTAGTAGGCACTGCTTGTTCCACCTTGCTATTATGGGTAGCAAAAGGAAAAGTGAGGGGCAGTTGGGGTCACACTGCCTTTTCTGTACTTGGATGAGGAAGCATTCAGCACAGGTTCAACCCCGATGCTGCTACAGATTCTGATCACGTGCACAAAAGGGGAACGTATACCTAGAGCAGGACATACTCAAGGAAGTCCATACTCTATTTCTCTACAAACTTGATGACTACTACACACTTGAGACCACACATCATAAGCTACAAACATACCAGGTCTATTTCCCCCCCTTGATCTCCCTTATTCCCTAGTGAATACCTCCCCAGGTTCTCTCCCTATCCTCTGTGTTCACCTGCATAGCTCTAAAATACATACTTTTCTTTCCTTTTCCTTGTATTTCAGTGCTCTACATATTCACCTTTCATGTCCCTGTCAAGCAAAAATGACCCTTAATCCTAAACATTTCTTATTAAAAAAACTACCTATATCTTGGAGGCTGCTGAGGAAACATCTACGGAGCAGGATGACTGCAGCTCTGAAAGGCTAGCAGGGAGAGTGCAGCCTGCAGCAGTCTGGAGGTTTGGGAAGGAACTAAGAGGTGGAGGAGGTTCCTATGGACGGGGCTGGAGCCCAGATTGAGGGGCTGAGAGTGTGGGACCCAGGAGGGTCCAGGAGCCCACTGAGGGGCTGAGTGGAAGGTAACATCAGGGAGTGATGACATCTGTGAGGCATGGGGCGTGGTGTAGGGGCAGACTGGAGCCACACAATTAGCCCGTAAGGCAGCAGCCACAAGCAGTTGGTGGTCATTTGAGAAATCAGTTTGGGATACCCTGAGCAGCCTCCCTCATATAAAGATAAAAGACATCTAGGTGTGGTAGGCAACTGAAGGGATGACTGTCCACAGAGAGCAAGGGCTGAAGCAGCTTCATGACCACCCCTGGAAGGACACCCTGCTACAATCAGATTCTATTTTAAGCCCCTTAGGGACTTAACCTTACCATGGAGTTACAATCAAAGCCTCTATCATAAAATGTACCAGAGAAGACATTTTCAGGGTCTTCTGTATATTGTTAAAGTTACTGGTAAGAAATCTAAGTCCTCCTAGTTTGAAAGTTTAAATTTCTCTAAAAAGCAACAAACAAAATTTCCCCTTGTTTTCTGATCATCTTACATGTGATTCTTGTAAGTTGAGAAAAGAGGGTAAAAAAAGTACTTCCCTCAAACGTATTGTGATTATTTCAGATAATTATGAGAGTGTTAAATTAAAACAAAGCTAACAAAACTTGACCATCTGTGCAGGTGCCTGACTTTTAAATAATGAACTTTACAGCTGAAAGACTTGATCTGTTTGTGAGTAAAATTACTCACAGGCTTAATTTTTTGCAGGATAAGTGTGTTTCGATTACAGATACGTGCATGTGTGGGCTAACATTCTATTATCCTGTGTGTGCCTACATGGAAGTTTTCCAGATATAAGTGGAATTTTTGGCACTCATGAATAATTTGCAATTCTATTACCCAAGCAGTGTGAATGAATAAGGAATCACATAGCTACTATCAATGCTCAATAGGCTATGCACTGGCTAGACAGGTAAGTAGTTGGCTACATATGTACATAGGCCAGGCGTGTGTAAGTAACAAAACCCTGCCTGGCAAAAACCCAGGAGTAATGGGTGGGTGCATGGAGATGGAAGGAAGATTCAAGAGGGAGGATGATGAGGACAACCCTCACACATTATTTTCTTGAAGCTGACAAATCTGGATCTAAACTACCTTTCCTCTATCCTAAGAAATATGCAATAATTAATTTCCTGCCACTATTTTTTTTCAGTCAAAATGCACAGTAAAATACTCTCAATTTAAGGAGCCCGAGTGCTTTTTAAAAACCACTGCAAGAATAGAATATTTTACTTAGATAACAAGTATTTCAAAACCAACTTCTTATGTTTCTTTCTAAGGAACTGAAACATATTTTTAGACTAATCCTGTGACATTCATCATTTCTGGGACCAAAATGTAAAAAAATAAAGAAACTGTGCCTGATGCAAGTTTAGAGTTTAG